AATATAATTTGTGTCATTTATTCATATAATATTTTTAATAAATGTTTGTATGTTTAATCCTGTTCATATATCTAAAAATAAATTACTTTATTTTGGAAATACATTCAGGTCACAAGTTTTCATTTCTCATTCATGATCAGAGTTGGTATCTTGTCATTTTCTGAGATTTCATAATGCAAAGATCTTGCGTGAGTTCTTATTGTGTGAGATTGAGCTGGTCTTAATTTCATAGAGTGAGTTCTTACATATAATGGTGGAGAATGCGGGCATTGTGTGATCTTGGATTGATGAGATATTAATTCTGTTTATGAATCTGAAAAAAAAAATTATTAATTTTTCCCACATCGGCATGAGGTTTTTTTTAAAAAATATACGGCTTTGCTTGTGTGTTCAGAATACAGTTCTAAAGTACTGCAGACTTGGTTCTGTTAAAAATTGTTTATCCTGGCAAATGTGCGTTTTGGACCCGCTGAGGTCCGGTTCTGGTTCTGTGTCCTGCCGCCGCGCAGACAGGAGGTTTCTGCTGGAGAGGTTCTGCGCCGTCAGACTCTCTAGAGAGCAGTAACCGTGTTTCGCTTGAGAAGCGACTGATTGCATGCATGTGCTCATATCTGTGTATGAATGAGTGAAATAGGATCCTTTGAAATCCAGTGTGTTCATACCGTTGGGTTTAGAACCGTAAGTCTGGTCCTGGTACGTGCGTAATTTACGCGTAAATGTAACCAGTTGAACTCCGCGACAAGGCTTTCTGAGGTCGCAACTTAGAAGCTGTCACCACGCTTTATAGAAATAAACATAACGTGAGGGAGTTTTAGCGCCGTTAGAGGCTAAGAAACTTAAAGGTTTGTGCCGAGGCGTTATACAGACGAGTCAGTCTGTCCACACTGAACGTGTGGAGCGCTGTTAGCGCTAACGGGGAAGCTAGCTGATTTGTTCAGTCTAAAGCTGCTGCGAGCAGGAAGACTTGCCCTGTTATTCCGTGAGAGTCACGGTTTTAGCTTATAAATCGTTTGCCCCGCTCTGGGTTACGTAAAGCTAAATAAGGTTACGCTGGGAAGCGTAAAGATGGAGTTTGAGCTCCGTAGGTGAGAAGCTGTTAGCTCCGTGTCCGAGGGCAGCCGCCATTTTGTGTCAGAGCACGACGTCACGACGTCATACGTGACGTTAGAACGTGTGTTCTCCCTGGGAGGGGGGTGAAACGTCACGGGTTCTTTTCAGAGCTGTGTTTTGTGTGACATAGCCGCCATCTGCTGGTTTTTCGCTGTAATTACACACTCTTAAAAGGTGAAATAGTTCAATTTGCTCATAAAAACGGGGAATTTAGCTAAACTCAGGCGAAAAATAGCATTTTCTTGCTCAGAAAAATTTCTTTAATTAAATTAAAGTTAAGAAAACAAAAAANAAGAAGTTGCTAAAATGAGTTGCATGGAAATAAATCAACAGTTGGAAGATTTAGCTGATAAAGCTAATATTGGTGAAAAAGCTGCTTCGCAGACCAAACGTTTGGCTCACATTGCTGTGTTTTTAAAAGCCAGATTAGAAATGGAAACTCAGCTGGTAAATGAGCTTCTTAAACAAAAACAACTTGAGTCAGAAGAAATTGCTAAATTAAAACAAGAAAATGAGCTCCTTAAACAGCGACTTGGTACCGCAGAGGAAGAAAAAGTAGTTTTGGAATCCAAACTTGGTGAGACTGTCCAAGTAAAGGATCATGAAATTAAACTTCTTCGAAATGAACTTGAAAAAGCTAAAGATGACGCTTTGGTTCAGGAAAWTAAATCTCTTAAACGAGATTTGGAGACAATCACTACAGACTGCGAAGCTGCTGAAGCAAACGCTAGGACTCTAAAAGTAGTATGTGATCTCACACAGCAGAATCTACAAACAGCTGAAGCTAAGTTAGCTTCAGAGAAAACTGCCCACAAAGAAGTGAAGAAAAAACTTGAAAATAAAAATTCAGAGTTGTSTCAWRTAACTGAGAAGTTTGATAAACTTCAAAATTATCACACCAGTTGCACACATCTTCACAAGGAGCAAGTTCAAGAGCTTGAAAAACGAAACTCTGAGCTGCAGAGAGCTGCAAGCCTGCAATCTGCTGGTAGTTACATCACTCAAGGTCATGACGGTCATGGTTCGGATGAATCACTGCATGGAGGCAGAGCTACAAGCACGCCTTCACAAAGGCGTGGATCACATATCAAATTCCAAAGTACTGAAGAGGGGGAGAGCGGAGAGTGTTCTGGTTCAGACACTGAGGGCCGGAGTGTATCACCTCCATCCGGGCCTGGTGACCCTTCACCTCCTCACTCTGATGGAGGGGGGGGATGACTCTCCACGTCGTGGTAGAGACCCTCACAAGCC